TGAAGGCTGTGTTGACCAGTTTGATGGAAGTATTTCAGATTGCATATGAAAACCCCACACTGCACCCCAGAAGTGCATTAATGTACATAGTTATCATTCAATAAAAAAAAAGAATGGTAATCAAAGTAATTGTATATTACTTGCTTTCTGAACTCAAATAGTTTGCAATTCAAAATTTAGGAATGAATATAGTTACCATTCAATAAAAAAAAATTAGGAATGAAATAATGAGGAATCAAATTGTATGGTGAGGAGAAAATCATACTGTTTCTCTACTAGGCATTAGAGAAGTACTCATTCTCTCTGGCTGTCTCTTCCCTCTCAAATCACATAAAAGGTTAAAAACACAAGTTTCTGCTTGGGGTATTAAATTCTGGAAAGCACATCACTACACTCAAACAAGAAATAAACAGATACAGAGAATCTATAAAATCCTACATATCCTAACCAATCTTACCTCTCTCTTTCTCTCACTCTCTTTTTTGTTTAGACACAGGCTCTCATTACCTTGCCCAGGCTGGAATGTGGTGGCATCATCAGAGCTCACTGTAACTTCAAACTCCTGGATTTAAGCAATCTTTCTGCCTCAGCCTCCTGAGTACCTGGCACTACAGGCATGTGCCACTCACCCAGGTAGTTCTTGAAAAATAAAATTTTGAACGATGAGGTCTTGCTATTTTGCCCAGGCTGGTCTTGAAAACCTAGCCTCAGGAAATCCTTCTGCCTCAGCCTCCCAAAGTGCTGAGATTACAGGCATGAGCAGCACTTTGATTATTGTACCTTAACATTAAGTGTTGAATTCAAGTAGTGTGAGGCTTTCAACTTCATTCTCTTTCAACACTATTTTGGCCTTTGTAGATTACTTGCACTTCTATGTAAATATTAGACATGGTTGTCAATTTTTATCAAATAACCCTTGTAATATTTATTTGTTTTTCACCACATCTACAGATCAGTTTAACAAGAACTGGCATCTTAACATTACCAAATCCTCCAATTTATTAATTTATTAATGTGGGTTGAGGAAGAGTTCTGAGAGGGCCCCTTAGACTTATAATTAAGGTCTCAATGTGATCCCTCTGAATTAATCAAAAGGGAATTTACCTGGCTTGACCTGACCATGTCAGATGGACCCTTCAAAGAGGCTGGAGCCTTCATCAAGGAAGAAATTCACAGGATGGGAGAGATTCTGCCATTGACCTCTAAGCAGTAAGGCGTCACATGCTGAGAAAGCCAATGTCTTGGTCATCTCTGGCTGCTCTAACAAAATGACAGAAAGTAATTTCTCACAGTTCTGAGGCCTGGACATCTGAAATGGTGCCACCATGTTTGGGATCTAGTGAGTGTCCTCTTCTGAGATGCTGAGTGCTGACGTTTCGTTGTGTCTTCACATGGCAGAAAAGGAGTCAGCAAGCTTAGCCCTCTGCTCTCTTTTACTGCAGGAACTTATCCCATCGTGTGGGTTCTACCCTCGTGGCCTAGTTACCTCTCAGTAGCATCACATTGGGGATTATATTTTAGCATACAGTTCAGGGACGGAGACACAATATTCAGTCCAAAATACAACATGTATAGAACTTGATGACAGCCTGTAAGGTTTAAGTGTGAACCTTATCCAACAGCCGGCAAGGTAAGGGGGCCACAGTCTTAACAGATACAAAGAATTAAATTCTGCTGACACCTGAATGAAGAGGAGAATCTTGAGGTATAGATGGAAACACAGGATGGATAAGAACTTGACTCCGACCTTGTGAGACCCTGAGCAGATAACACAAACAAATCACAGCCAGAACTCTGATCTGCAGAAAAGGAGGATAATTTTTTTTTTTTAAATAGACTTTATCAAAATTTTAACAGTGTGTTCATCAAAGGAACCCATGAGGAAAGTGGTAAGGGAGGCTACTGATCCGAAAAAGTATCTCCTTGTGTCTCTTTTTCTCTATCTCTCTGTATTTTTCTCTTTCTCTCTCTTTTATTCCTCTACCTCTTTCTCTATTTCTCTCTCTATATATATATACAAAAGGTCTCAAAAAATTATAATATGCAACATGTGGGTAAGTACCAGAGTTTCGAGACATGCTGTGTTATGGTCCATTATTTCACTTCTAAGAAACATAGTCAACAGCATCCTTTCTGATTCATCTCTGAAAGTTTCAACTTGCTCAGCTTACTGGTGTTGCTAGGAAGACTTCATTTGTTTCCATCTATGCAGGTTTTATGTTTCTTGATTATTCTGTATCTCAAAATTTTGGTAATCACCCTCATATATACTGGTTTATTGTCTTATAGATTGTATCTTGTACCTCTTGTAATTGCAAAAGTCAAACATTACTTGAGTATTACAATTTTAATACATTTTTTCCTTTCTTAAAATGTGCGTACTTTTTTTTTTTAGAACCCTCTGTATCTATGAGGACTGTCTGGAAAGTATCAAATCATGTAATATGAAAAACAAAGACATTTGTTATATTAACAATGGCTGAATACTTTCTTGACAGCCCTCATATATACAAGGTGGACATAAAAGTTTGTGTGCAATCTAAAATAGTTTAACATAATAAATTTCACACTAACTTTATGGACACCCCGTATAACAAAAATTTTAATTACTCCTACATATGAAAAATAGTCTTTAAAAAAATACAAAATAGACAAATGACTTGGAGATACCCTTAACAAAAGAATATTTATTCATTTTTAATAACTATTGTAAGCAGAGCTTTGCTGTTAGAACCCAGGCAAGAAAACCTCAGAGTTCACACAATTAAGTGGTCTGTTCCATTGCCTTTGATTACACTTGTCCAGGCATGTCTCTGCTATCACTGGGAGGTTGTCAGGCTGCATAGAAGCTTTCTCAGGGCCCCCTTTATGTCCTTGTTCCTCAGGCTATAGATGAAAGGGTTCAGCATGGGGGTGACCACAGTGTACAGGACTGAGGCAAACACCCCTGTCTGAGAAGCATGTGACCATGTGGAACTGAGGTAGACTCCCAGACAGGTCCCATAGAAAAGGCATACAACGGAAAGATGAGACCCACACGTGGAAAAGGCTTTATACTTCCCCCCTGCTTTTGAGATCCTCAGGACAGAAGAAACAATTTGAAAATAAGAGAAAAGAATCCCAGCAAGAGGAAAGAAGCCCATGACACCCGTCACGATGTATAATACAACGTTACTGACAAAGGTGTCTGAGTGGGAGAGTTGGAGGATCTCAGGGAGCTCACAGAAGTAGTGTGGAATTTCAGCAATTGCGCTGAAAGAAAGCTGCAACACTGTCAAACTCTCAGGAAGGGCCCCCAGCACGCTGATGAGCCAGGTGAGGACAAGCAGCTGGACACAGAGCATGGGGTTCACAATGACCATGTAAAGCAGGGGGTGACAGATGGCCACAAAGCGGTCATAGGCCATAACTGTCAATAGTAAATTGTCCAAAAGTCCAAAAACTGTAAAAAAGTACATCTGGGTGATGCAGCCTACATAAGTGATGGATTTGCTCTGTGTTTGGATGTTCACCAGCATCTTTGGAATCGTGGTGGAGGTGAAACAGATGTCAGAAAAGGACAGATTGGAGAGGAAGAAGTACATGGGGGTGTGCAAGTGGGAGTCTGAGATGATGGCCAGGATGATGAGCAGATTCCCAAAGACAGTCACCAGATACAAAGACAGGAATAGCCCAAAGAGAACAGGCTGAAATTCTGGCTTTTCAGAAAATCCCAGGAGGAGAAATACTGGAAGCCCTGTGTCGTTGTCTGGCTCCATGTTAAGGAAATATCTGCAAGAGAGAGAGGCAGAAGGAGACTAAATGAATCATCAGCAGGCATCTCAGAAATACAGTCTATTTTTGCTGGAACCTGATGCATTGATGGGATGATGCATTTGCTTTAATGGCCTCTTCTGTCAGCGTGAGTTTTCCAAAGCTGACTTCATCTCTTCAACTTCCCTGACCCTTGGTCAGCCAGTCTTTTTTCTTCTCTGATATGCTTTTTATTTTACTTTTCTATTTATGCCTTTATAACAATAATAATTTTAAAAGCCACAGATCCATATATAATTTCCATAAATAGTAAGAATGCCATGATGTTTTTGACACTCTTGATTAATTAACAGCAATGTATTGAATATTTCAAAATAGCTAAAAGAGGGGAGTTAAAAATTTCCCAGCACACTGAAATGATAATTATTTGAGGTGATAAACACCTTACATATCCTGACTTGCTCATCACACATCTTATGCATGTAACCGAATATCATATAAGTTACATAAGTGTGTACAAATATTATGTGGGGGAGAGGGGAATGAGGGTATCAATATTTTTCAGAAGTACAATGGATTAATCATCAAAAAAATATTATATTATTAGTCACATTTATTTCTCACGAAAGACAAGAGGTCAAATTAGTTTTAAAATCCCACTTATCTGCAATGTATAAAAAGTATTTGGAGTCATGTGAAATAAATATCAATAAATTTTCTGAATCCATTTTAACACTGATACCAAAAGACAATATCCTACTATAACAGCAGCCATGTAAAAAAAAGAAAATCAAAAACTTCCCCCAAACACTCATTACTCTAATTAGCAGAAATGGAAAAAGCTCAAAGTAGCTATAAAATATATTTATAAATTTGTCAAGAATAGTAAATATGATGATCAGGTATAACCCAACAGAGGAAAGCAATGAACATTTTATATTGGTAATTTATTTATTATAGTACAAAAATATGTAGAAAAATTTTTCTATATGTAATATGACTGTCTTAATATATACAAATGTTTTGAGATAACCATAAATAGAATTATATTTCTTAACAATTGTAAAACATCTTCCTTGTTCATGAGCTAATATCAGCCCTGACATGAAATTATTTGAGGGATCTTTATGAAGCTCCTATAGAAGACAATATGCCTGTCACTATTGCTACCCAACAGTGTTCTGAAATTTCAAACCAATGCCACTAAGGAAGAAAATGCAATCATAGTTTCATATCTTGTATAAAATTAGATTGATCACATTTTCAGATAAAATTGGTAGCCTAAAATCAACTGGAAAGCTATTACAACTTATAAGGCATTTTGGTAAGGTTAAGTCATAACACAAACAAACATGTCTTCTCTTTTTCCAGCAATAAACAGATATATCATAGGAAAAATACATTATTCAAAATAGTACAAAAATGGCTAGGAGTGATGGCCCATGCCATGATCCCAGTCCTCTGGAAGGCCAAAGCAGGGAGATCACTTGAGCTCAGGAGTTCAAGACCAGCCTGAATAAGACTGAGACCTTATCTCTACTAAAAATAATAGAAAAATTAGCTAGGGACAGTGGTGCATGCCTGTTGTCTCATCTATTCAAGAGGCTGAGGCAGAAAAATCACTTGAGCCCAAGAATCCAAGATTGCAGTGAGCTATGATGCTGCCACTAGTGAAATTCTGTCTCAAAAAAATCAGTACAAAAAGTTCATTGAAGGTAATCAGGAAATAATATGAAGAATGATTTATATTAACACTAACTAGGTGCAGAATTAAGCTAATCTTGTATGGTGAATGGCCTTATCTTACCTCTCCAGAATCACAGAGGTTGAGAGGCCCATCATTCATGAACACTGAAGAGACAGCTGAAGGTGACTGTGATGCTTGTTGAATGTGTGAGTAAATGAGTGAGGTCTCTCTCATGCACAAGCAACGGTTAGTAAGGTAACCAGGAGATTCAGAAACTGGATGAGATATTAAGAGAAATTGACATCATCTTGTAAAACATTGAGAAAGAGACAACTTCTGGTGTGAAAAGAGAAGGCTGTGGAAATTATGTAAGAATATCAGAGGACAAGAGGAAAATGCTCAGAGAGAAGAGACTGCAATTAAATCTGAGGCTTCCTTCTTAGCTAGGCAATTGAGCTTATTTGAAATTTTTTTAATTAATTGAACTTTTTATATTTCTTTATCCCTGGCTATACCCCTAGGGGAACTGCCTCTCAGCCCATTTATTTAATTTTAATTAGCCAAAAACTTACTCTGCCTGTGCACCTGTTGCTTGCTGGCATGTGGTCAGTTGAGGATGTTTTGTGAGTCTGGTCTTCCAGGGCAGATGAATGGTGGAAGCAACAGCTGTGTCCTTAACATCAGGGTGATGGTGCTAAGCATGGATTTCTGGACAATGGTGATGTTCCAGGAAGCAAGAGAGAGTTTCCTTCTTTACTTAGATTGTGAACTGATGGTGAGGAGAGGAGGTCTAATGTTTGTTGAGTTCCAGAACCTGAATCCTTATAAGTACTCATTAAATAATGTTTTCTGATGTTGTAATCCCTAGGCAATATAACTACTAAGATTCTGGAGATCATAAATTGAGTTGGAAAATTTTAAGTCTATTTTGTTTTTTTGGGAGTAGGACTCATGTCAGAGGAATTTAAAGGCTCCCACTGGGGCCTTTGAAACCATATTTATTATGAATAATTCAAACATATACAGAAGCACAGAGAAGAATCTAATCAACTCCCTTTCGTGCATCTGTCCTGAGTTCACAATTATAGATCCATGGCCTGTCTTGCTTCAGCTATATATTAGTCAGAATGGCCTACCTCTGTCAGAATGGCCACTCATCAAAAAGACAATAAACACCCAACACCAGTGAGAATAGCCCACATCCCAAGGTCCCAAAACTTAGATGCTGGCATGGGTTAAGAGAGAGGGGTACACTGATGCAATGTTGGTGGGACTGCAAACTAGTACAGCTTTTTGGAAAGAAGCATGAAGATTCTTCAAAGAACTAAAGTAGGCCTCCCATTTGACTCCACAATCCCATAACTAGGTATCTACCCAGAAGAAAAAGTCATTCTACCATTAGGATATTTTCCCTCAAATGTTTATAGAAGCTCAGTTCACAATCACAAAGATGTGGAAACAACTCAAGTGTCTATCAATGC